TGGGCAAAATTGGGTCACTTAACCCCCCCCCCCCACTACCAGAAAATATTGGTTTATACTAAAAATATTAATATTTGCACTTTGTACCAATGAGTATAAAATAGTTTATATAAAAATAAATATTATGACCCTCACAGAAGGTGTGACACCCAACGGAAAACTCAATTTTGACAGAGTTTGCACGATTCGGGTTTAAGAATTCAGTCAAATATAAGAACAGAGTGCCACGAATAATAGGGTTTCGACAGAGTAGGGTGCCATCAGATCAGGGAGTCCCAAGAATTGGCTGCCATCAGATCAAGTTGTTAAAAGAGTAGTGTGCCATCAGATCATGTTGTCACAATAGGAGGGTGCCACCAGAACAGGTTGTCAAAAGAGTAGTGTGCCATCAGATCATGTTGTCACAATAGGAGGGTGCCACCAGAACAGGTTGTCAAAAGAGTAGCGTTCCATAAGATCAGGGTAATTCAATAGCGGGGTGGCACCAGATGAGGTCGTCACCAAAACAGGGTACAACCAAAAAAAAAAAAAAGGGGGGGGGGGTGCCACAAGAACAAGGTGCTACCAGATCAGTTTGCCCAAAGGTTGTCACCAGAATAGGATGTCTCCAGACAGAGCAGGGTGCCACCAGAATAGGTTGCAAACAGAGCAGGGTAATAACTGAGCTGGTTCCACCAGAGCAGGATGTCACCTGAGCAGGATGTCACCAGATCAGGATGTCACCAGAGCATGATGTCACCGGAACAAGATGTCTCCAGACAGAGCAGGGTGCCACCAGAATAGGTTGCAAACAGAGCAGGGTAATAACTGAGCTGGTTCTACCAGAGCAGGATGTCACCAGAGCAGGATGTCACCAGATCAGGATGTCACCAGAGCAGGATGTCACCAGAGCAGGGTGCCACCAGATTAGGTTGCAAACAGGAATACCTGAGCTGGTTCCACCAGAGCAGGATGTCAATAGAGCAGACACCAGAGCAGGATGTCACCAGATCAGGATGTCAAAAGAGCAGGATGTCACCAGATCAGGATGGCACCAGATCAGTATGTCACCAGAGCAAGATGTCACCAGAGCGGGATGTCACCAGATCAAGATGTCACAAGAGCGGGATGTCACCAGAGCAGGATGTCACCAGAACGGGATGTCACCAGAGCAGGAGGTCACCAGAGCGGGACGTCACCAGAGCAGGATTCACCAGAGCGGGATGTCACCAGATCAGGCAGAATTGGTAGATTCGTGGGGAAGTCATGAGGGATAAAGAAAGTGGCAGGAGTGCAATCAATTAATTCTGAACACGATCAGATCAAAAGCCACCACGTAATTAGCAGACATGTTGTAGTCTGCTCAAGCTAAGAGTCTACTATTGGTGACTAAAGAAGAGTTCACGGTTTCCATTCCCAAACTGACCACTTTCAATGTTAAGTTGACCTGAATGTGAACTTTTATATGAGATACCAAGGCTGGGAAGTCACCCGGAATCAGCAGATATTAAGTAATCTCGAAGAAGCCAAAGATTGGTCAATATTCGAAGTTTCGACATTCATAGCTGGATGGGACATCTTACAATCTCTCTCAAACCTCTTATCAAGATATTCAGTTATTTATCACGATCTGTGTGTCTTTTGCTTACTGTGAGAGGAGATTTTTAAAACTGAAACTTATAATAAATAACCATTTTTCAATCTCCGATGGGAAGTCCAAAATGTCGGGTCTTGTCATTTTTTTTAAATTCATAAGGCACAAAGTATTGATTTTGATGAACTGATTGATATCTCTAAATGCTTTTGTTTGTGGCTGGCTGGCAAAATCTTCGGATGGCCAATCGAGCTGATACTAGGCACAAAGACAAAATATTCATCAAATGTTCAGACACACTCCTATACACCCCAAAACCCCCCACTGTTTTTCCTGTTCAAGAGAAGATGAAGGAAATTTGATGACACGGAATCCACGAAATAAAATTTCTGATTCTGTGATAAATGAGATTCTTGTATTTAAAAAAAAATAACAACGCAAGTGAGTTTGGTGCGTAATATTTCCTTTTTAGTTTTTCCGAAACAGTTGGTGAAATAAATCTGCGGTTAAAAACGGGTGGGTAATTAGAGTATGAATCTAGTTCATGGTCGTGAAAAAATGTGCGGGTGCGAGCCTTATTTTTTTTTGGGGGGGGGGGTGAAAGCAATAATTGTGATTTTATAAAGTGCGTTACTTGTATGCATGCTTTGTCAAATTTTCAGCCCCACCCCCATTGCTCACATTTAAATTTTATAAATACCTTGTACGAAAATTGGTGAAATAAATTTGCGGTTAAAAAGGGGTGGGTAATTAGAGTATGAATTTAGTTCATGGTCGTGAAAAAATGTGGGGGTGCGAGCCTTTTTTTTTTTTGGGGGGGGGGGGTGAAAGCAATAATTGTGATTTTATAAAGTGCGTTACTTGTATGCATGCTTTGTCAAATTTTCAGCCCCACCCCCATTGCTCACATTTAAATTTTATAAAGACCTTGTACGAAAAACTTTGTTTTTAGGGTGGCTTCATTTACAAACTATTTGAATTAGCACAATACGTCATAAACGATTTGAAAATGTTAACTTCCGCCAGTGTGAAGGACGTCACGGACGCTTGGAAATATTTTTTTGTGGTAAATAGATCTTGAATTTTTTTTTTATTGAAACATCAAATTGGTTGATAAGTAAAATTATTATTTCATCGCTTAGCGTTGTTTTCTTTAAGAATCCGACAAATGTGTAATTTCCTAAGGCAAAGAGAAACCGTTTTTTTTAAATATTAAAAGAAAAAATTGATTTATCCCATCGTGAGGTGTTTTAAAACTAGACTAGGTTTTTGTTTAGTTTTTTTTGTTTGTTTGTTTTTTTGTTTTTTGTTTTGTTTTGGCCAATGTGTTAGGGACTTGAGGCAGAGGCTGAATGATCTAGGTGTTTAAAAACATGAATTCATTAAGAATGGTGTCAGTGGTGAGATGGGGGTTGAAGTCACCAAGTCACCAATCACCATTTAACCTGTTTTAAAATTGTAAATATGACACCACAATGTTAAGACCGTTTCTTACTCTTCACAGGAATATTTTCCATGGGAGTAACACAGGAAATTATATCCCCCCATCCCCCCCCCCCCCAACTTCCGGTTTCAGACGCTCTTGGATAGCATCGAGTTTAGCAAGGCACAGTCTCGTTGCTTTGTCTCCACTCGGTCACAACCAGCGAAGCTAGGCTACGCTCCCCAGAGCTACCAAATATCACAAAACAAATTAATGTATTGATCGGCTGTTTTAACGTGATAGTGAGCTTCATGACAAGCTTAAAACTTTCAGTGCGATAACAATGTCAATTTCGTGTTAACGTTTTTTAGCACAAATTAAAGCCAGTGCTAGAAGGAAATACAGAAAAAAAAATATATTAAAAAATGATCATATTCGTCCTG